CTCCTTCCCCGTTCCCGGTGTTGGCCACTGGATGGTCCAGTCCTGCTTGGAGAGGCTGCCTCCTGCAACGAGACACACGGACACGGCCATGCAGCGAGGTGCGAGGTCTCGGCCACCACGGCGCCCACCAGCTCCTCAGTGCTCCAAACGCAGCAGCGTGAGGCAGCCTGCGGCCAGGACTGCTCTACTCTCGCCCCAGCACCATGCTGAGCTTAAGGCAGGGCTCCGAGCAGAAGATGTCCAGCCGGCATACTGACCCAGCCAGGCTGCGACCAGCACCGCGCGATGGCTCAGGACCCTTTCAGCCTCTGAAGGCCCTGCATGCCTGCAGGCACAAAGCAAGTCACTCCAACAACCCAACCACCTAGGTGAGACCTGTCACCTCTGACTCAGTCATACAGGTGAGACCTACCTCCTGTAATGGTCCAGCACCCAACCCCCCAGGTGAGACCCGTCACCTCCGACCCAGCCACCCAGGTGAGACCTGTCACCTCCAACCCAACCACCTAGGTGAGACCTGTCACCTCTGACTCAGTCATACAGGTGAGACCTACCTCCTGTAATGGTCCAGCACCCAACCCCCCAGGTGAGACCCGTCACCTCCGACCCAACCATACAGGTGAGACCCACCACCTCCAACCCAGCCCCCTGCCCCAGTCTTGCCTTTCCCCCCCTTCCACAGGTTGCAGAAAAAGGTGGAAAACAAAGGACAAGAGCAGCCACGCTTAATTATTAGTCCCCACCAGCGTGGAGATGAGTAAAGGCCTGTCTGTGCTGACTTCAGAGCACCGAAGTGATGGAGAGGACTCAAGATCTCGTCACCTACTTCTTTTGATCACCGCTTCTCATAAAACCTGCATAAAAATGTAATCTCTTTATTTTAAAAAGACTCCTTCCCCCCAGCCCTGCTTGATAATTAATTGCCTGTCCTGTTATCTATTCACCCTTTTCAAGGGAAACGTTTTACCTCAAGCTCTTGAGAGGAAACAAATTATATATATAAGGCAGCTTCGGAAATGAAAGGTTTCAGACTTGATTGAAAAAGCTCCGGGTTGGGGAAAGGGGGGAGAGGAGTTTTCTTGAATTGTCCTCCTAAAGCAGAAGGAAATAAAGTCCCACCCGAGGGGCAGGCGGCCCTGGGAAAGGGCCGAGGGGCGAGCGCGGAGCTCGGCG